AGTCCGTTACCAAAGGACTCAGTGTTCCATCTTGTTGGTTATTTCTAGGGATTAAATCATAATCCTCATCTTTCATAAAATAAAAAGTGTCATTATTATAATAGAGCCCATACAGGCACCGTCCCGGACCCTCAGCATTTGTCTTGATTAGGGCTTTTCAGTGCTCTGGGGTGCTCGCTCAAGCTCTGTGGTTCAGGAGCTATGTTGGGCATTAGATCTGTGCCGGGTCCTATGCTAGGCACTTCACTTACATTGTTAATGTAACCCTCATTATTGCTCTTGGGGCAGGGGGGTAGCGTTATCATCTGCAACTTCCAGATGCAGACTCTCATCACATAGAAATTATGTGACTTTCCCTGCGAGCCGGTTTTCAACAGAGTTGCGGGGAGAAGCACCGTCCTGGTGCAGTAAACGGCTCAAGCATCCTCTGTGTAAACTGGAGCTGGCTCGCAGGCAGCCCTGGAGTCTGAGAGTATTAGTTTTATAGTTGGAATTCAAATGGGAACTTCTAACAGAGAAAGAGCAGAAGGGAGGAAGTGTGACTAGTATTGCACGAAGGCCCTATGAAGGGTCCCTGCCACTCACACTGGGGACCCAAGAATGAGCTGGACAAGTTCCTGACCCATCTGGGCTCATCTTGGGCTCACAGCCTGGTAGAGCAGTCTGGTCCATAGGCCAGGCATCATCTGGTCCTATTCGGTTGATTGACTGATCAATTTAGAGTTTTGCTATAGGGTATGTGCACTTGCCAGAGAGGCAGAGAGAGACAGAGAGACAGAAGGTGAGAAATCACCCCCCAAGAACGATGACCACGCCACAATCCCTTTCCCTCCAGTCTCCTCTCGGGATTTCGGGCACACATGCACATGCACCTGGTGTGAGTTTTAAGCAGCTGGGTCCAAACCTTGGTTGACTATGTGGGAATCCAGTGACATAACCATTATGCCATCTGCTGGTCCCCAATTTGCTTTATAATCATAACATTAATGGATGCTTAGTTGTAGCACAATTTATTATTTTTTCTTCTTCTTTTTTTTTTGGCCATGGGGTGCATGTACTTGCCAGAGAAAGAGAGAGACAGAGACAATGAGAAGGAAAGTGAGAAATCACCTGCCAGAGGGGATGGCCATGCTGCAGTCCCTTCTCCTCTATTCTTCTGAGATCTTGGCCATGCACACACATGTGCCTGGCATGATTTTTAAGCCACCGGGTCTGGGACTGGAACTGCGTTCTGCCATGTGGGAGAGCAGTGATGTAACTGCTACACTATCTGCTGGTCCCCATTTTTCCCTCATTTTTAAACATGTAAGTGTTCTCTCTGGTTGGGCACTTAGATTTTTTTCTAGCTTGGGGCTAATATGGACAGATAATATTCCTGAATACTTTGGGGTTTCTACTAAAATATTTTTTCTTAGAATACACTTCTATAATTCTCCATTATCATATTCCTACTCATTTCTATGGGGATTTGTTATATACTCAACAAATATTTATTAAACATCTCCTATCAATGCCTTACAATAAGTACAGGGATATGCTATGAACAGATACGGTCTTTAATAAGCATACCAATTTATGTCACTAGACATGTATATTTCTTAAAAAAATTTTTTTAGAGATTTTTGCTATAGGGCGGGTGCGCTCGCCAGACAGACAGAGAGAGACAGAGAGATAGAAAGCGAGAAATCACCCCCTGGGGGGATGGCCATGCCGCAATCCTTTCTCCTCTGTTCTTCTCTCGGGATCTTGGGCATGCACGCACATGCGCCCGGTGTGAGTTTAAGCCACCGTGTCCGGGACACGAACCGCGGTCGACTACATGGGAGTCCAGCGGCATAGCCATTACACCAACTGCTGGTCCCTTAAAATTTTTTTAAAAAGTTTATTTACTCCATGATCAAGAGCGAGCGTGAGAGAGACCCACATCCCCAGTGAGGTCTCCATTGATGATCTATTGCCAGGCTTCAGCTAGCCCAAGATAATGGGCAACATGCACCCCGAGTACTCAGGTATGTCTCCAGACTTGAACCGTGAACCTTCTCAGGTGGGGATGCCTCACAGAGTGTGGCATTTTACCACTGTTCCACTACCTGGTCCCCAGAAATGTAATATTTAAAATTTTGGAGGCCAGATGGAGACATGATGGTTAGGTAGCTGGCTCCCATGTGTCCAACTGAGTGGCTGAGTTCAGCTTGAAGAACACAGTGGACACGTGTGAGCATGCTCAGAATCCCCAGAGGAGAAAAGAGAAGGGATTGTGGCGTGGCCATCCCAGGGAGTGCTTGCTTACTTTCTCTCTCTCTTTCTGTGTCTCTGGTGAGCATATGTACTTTACACCAAAAAAGAAAAAAAAAAAAGGGTCTAGTAGGTGGCATTGGACTCTCATAAGGCCAACTATAGTTCTAGTCCCAGATCCAGCGGCTTGAAACTCATGCTTGGCACATGGAATATCTAAAATCCTAAGAGAAGGGATTGCAGTGTGGCCATCCCCACTGAGGGGTGACTTTCTACTTTCCCTCTGACTGTCTGTCTCTCTCTGTCTCTCCAGTGAGTGCATGTGCCCTATGACAAAAACCTTTCAAAGAATTTTTTAAAACAAAATTTTGGCAAAATCATCACTGAAATGAAAAAGAATTTTGTTTACTTGTTTCTATTTTTTAAACTTTCATTTTGTGATTGCATTCTATATTTATATGAATTATTTATTATGTGCATGAGTTCTTTTTTACATGAAGTACCTATATTCTTGTAGTCTATAAAGTTTTTAAAACTTGTTTTTCTTATGAAATTGCTAGAGATTTTTACATCTCTGTTATTTTTATTGTAATTTTCTAGCTATCATACTTTTTACTTTTATTATTTTGAATTATACGTAAGTTTTAGATTTATATTTATTTTAGTTTATCACTCTTTTCCTTTGCCATATCCTCCTTTTTTAAGTGTTATTTACTTTTACTTATTATTATTAATTTTAAATTTGACTAGAGAGAGACAGAGTGAGAGAGAGAAAGTGAGAAAGCAAGCTGCCGGACTCGAACCATGGTCAGTCATGTGGGAAGTCCAGCACTTTCCAGCCACCATGCCACCTATCGGCCCCTGCCATATCCTCTTTTGCTTCTAAACTGTGTTAGACTGAAATTAAGTTTGACCTAAAGCTGTCTCTATACACAGCAAACCAATCTTAATATACAAATGAATTGCCTCCTTACATGGGAGTATATAGTCTTGTAAACATATAGCAAAGAAACCTTTAGCCAGGCAAAGGCAAAAAGCTGCCAAAACATGTCCAAATAAGGCAAACACCAAACTATCCCGTCAGGCTCTTTCTGTAGTCACTTTCTTTCTCTGGCTATAAATATTATCCGCACAGTTGTGGGGCAGAGGTTCTGGAAACTTTTGGTCCTGTGTGCTACTTGGTTCAGGAAGGTTTTCTGTTGCTCAGTGAAACTGTTAAATTCAATTTGACTCAGATTTTTTCCTTTAACAAATGATTGTTTCTCCATAGATCTGAGAAATATTATATTTTATTTTCTGACAGTATGTCTGTAACTGAATATAAATTAAATTTTGGAATGATTTTTTAGGGTGAGCTTTAGAATGACTACATCCATTCAACTGTTTTATGTAACCATTTCCTATCCCGCTGAATACATTTCCATTATCTGCACTTTTTGTGCATTGAATGGGAAAAAAAAGGTTGCTTTATATTTATTTGGCTACAGTCCTTTTCATTTACTTGATTATTTTTTGAAATGTATTTTCATTATTTTTTTCAGGTTTCAAAATATCCCTGGAACATTATTGCAACTCAGTAAAAGCTTATGGCATCGCGTTTGACATTCTGTTTAGCCACTTGCTAGTCGTCTAACCTTCCACAAGTTCATTAATCTAAACCTGAGTTCCTCATCCAGACTAGGGATAATGTTAATACTGCATGAGATTTTTCAGAATTAAAATTTAAAATTTATGCAAGATAGTATATTTCCCACTCAATGCCTTGCACTGGGAGTATTAAAAAGTGTTAATTATTATGATTTATTTGGGGGCAAATAGTCATTTTGCCAGTGAAGTCACAAAGTAAGGTGTAATTTTAAGGTGGATTATAATTTTTTTTTTTTTTTAAATCACAGGAGGACTAGTGCCCCTGCCAAAGAGAGAGGGAAAGTGAGAAACCGGGGGTGGGGGGGGTGGAAGGGGCTGATGGCCGAACCACCGTCCCTTCTCCTCTCATGATTCTGGGGACAAGCCCATATGACCCATGTGTTTTCCCGGCCGCACCGTCTGGAATTGAACTGCGGAGTCAGGCATGTGGGACCCAGGTCTTAACCACCACGCCACCTGCTGGCCCTGTGATCCTTTTATATTAAGGACCAGCAAGAGCGTCACCATCAAGCTTCTCTTTAACCTCCACCTTAGCCAGGTGACCCCAGCCCTTTCCAGAGATGGCCTTTAAAGTGAGCCAGGAGCCCCGCAGCAGCCAACCCGGGCACTGGTGGGCCGTTGCCTTGGAGACGAGGGCGGGGCGGGTCTAGATCACTCAGGGGCCAGAACCAACCGCCGGAGCTTCCGGGGGCGGGACGACACGAAGGCGCGGCACGCGACCCGATATCCAGCAGCCAATCAGAAGGCGGGGCGCCCATTCAAATTGCGATCACTGCGGGAGCCTGCGTGGGAGCGGTGAGTGGCGTGGCGACAGCTTCTTGCCTTGGAGACGAGGGCGGGGCGGGTCTAGATCACTCAGGGGCCAGAACCAACCGCCGGAGCTTCCGGGGGCGGGACGACACGAAGGCGCGGCACGCGACCCGATATCCAGCAGCCAATCAGAAGGCGGGGCGCCCATTCAAATTGCGATCACTGCGGGAGCCTGCGTGGGAGCGGTGAGTGGCGTGGCGACAGCTTCAGGGAGTCCCTGAGGTGGGGGACCCAGCGGAGGGGCGAAGTGTCTGTGCTAGGGGAGGCGTGCGGGCGCTTTTCCCACGGGCAGGCACTGCGGTGCGGGCCGGTGGTCTCAGTCCTGGTCCTCTTTCGACTCCCCAGAATTCCGGGTCTGCGGCGAGCGGGTCCCCGAAGGCAGAGAGCCCGAGGCAGCGCCCCTGCGGGCCCGGGAAGCTGGACGCCAGGTCGCTGGCACCCGCGGAGTCTCGCCGGAGCGGTTGGAGGTAGGAATCGGGGCCCTGTCACAGCCCCGCGGAGCCGCTGGCCGAAGCTAGCGACATGTTTTTTGTTTGGGCTGTGACATAATTTTCCTAGTGTTCCTTCCGGATAGCCGAACTCCCTAAACAAAATCCGCAGGGAACTGTGTAAGTAGCTCAGTCGGTCTTTGAGTTGCAGCTGAGTTTGCAAAATCTTTTCTTGCCTTTCAATTCATTTAGTAACAGGAAGGGCTATACTTTGAGTTGAAAGGTTGGCGGGAGGTGCGCAGAACCCTAAGAGCTGCTTTTGTGAGCACGACCGCTATTTCTGTAGAACTGTAAAGGCTCACTTACAAACTAATGCTATTTTGTTTCCCGATGGCAGTGCTCAGTGCTGTAGCTCCAGCCAGTGTCATTTTACACGGTGGATCCCAGGCATGCAGATTTTAGACTTGCTGACACCCAGGGAAGGAGTTGGAAGCCAGATCTCTGAGGTGTCATGGGGCTGTTCTGTTTCTCTGAATTGTTAATGTCTGATAGATATTGTTGCCACATACTTACACACCATCTTTTTTTGTTGTCTAACTGCTAAAGGGCAGCCTGTCTACTTATCTAATCGTGTGTAGTTTTTCTCCGCACAGGCAATTGATTCACAGTACTTATCACACCTGTTATCTATGGTACTCATTTAGGAATAATCTGCCTTGCAACACCAATCAGCTTAATCTCCTCTGTGGGCATCCCTGTGTTCAACATACGCGGAACAGGTTTATCAAAGTGCTTGGCTCCAGGCTCTGATTTAGGTGCCCGGGTTTCCTTTAGTCCCTCATTTCTCTTTCCAGTGGGGGGAATACTTTTTTTTTCTTTTTATGTACTTATTTATTTTTATTAACTTCACATTTTATTTAAAGTCCCTATCATGATGTCTATCATGTATAATACACACACACACACACACACACACACACACATATTTATTTGTTTTTCAACAGGGCTCTTTACATTTTTCAGTTTGACAAATGTTTCCTCCCCTTGCATCTCGCACCCACCTTCCTACCAGGGGAGTACTTATAAATCTATGATGGGGGCAGCAGGTGGCACAGTGGTTAAGTCGCTGGACTCCCATGGTGTTCAAGTCCCAGACCTGGCAGCTTGAAAACCATGCTGAATGCGTGTGCACATTCCCAGGAAGAGAATGGAGGAGAAGAGATTGCAGCATGGCCATCCTCCTGTAGGGGGTGGGGTGGTGATTTCTTACTTCTCACTATCTCTCTGTCTCTAACCCTGTAACCCTGGAGTGCACATACCCTATGGCAAAAATCTTTAAAAAAATCAGGACCAGCAGATGGCATAATGGTTATGTCGCTGGACTTCCATGTAGTCAACCGGTGTTTGAGTCCCGGACCCCACAGCTTCAAACTTATGCTAGGCTCATGTGCATGCGTGCCCAAAATCCAAAAAGGAGAATGGAGGACAAGGGATTGAGGTATGGCTATCTCCCCGGGGGGTATAACTTCTTGCTGTCTGTCTCTCTTTCTATCTCTGTCTCTCCAGGGAGCACACATGCCTTGTAGCAAAACTCTCATAAGAGGACCACCAGATGGCATAATGGTTACGTCGCTGGACTCACATAGTCAACAATGGCTTGAGTCCTGGATCCGGTGGCTTAAGACTCACGCAGGGTACATGTATATGTGCCCAAAACCCTGAGAGGAGAATAGGGGAGAAGGGATTGTAGTGTGGCCATCCCCCCGGGGGTGATTTGTCGCTTTCTCTGTCTATCTGGTGAACACAGGCATCCTGTAGCAAAAATCTCTCTTAAAAAAAACAAAACAAAAACCAAAAAACCCCAAAAAACAAAAACAAAACAAAACCTCTCTTAAGAAAAAAAAAATCTGTTAACATACATTTCTTGTAGCTCTAGAATTGGTGCATTTGGCCTGGTAGAAGGCTTCTCTCTGTGTTTACTCCCCATAGACTAGACTAAGAAATAAGAACAGAGGTGTTGTCTTTGATGGTTACAGACTCTCAGAGTTCCCATTCGGAACTCTGTAAATATTTGTTGAATGTAATTGCAAACTCTCCGAGGGCAGGGATTTGTCCCAGGCTAATTGGAAATGATGTCCAAGCTGGGGATTGTGATTTATTCTAAGGTATCTCTGGGAATTTACCACGATGGGGAGGAATTGCTATTTAAAAAAAATTTTTTTGGAGAGATTTTCACTATAGGGCATGTGTGCTCGCCAGACAGACAGAGAGAGACATAGAGACAGAAAGCGAGAAATCACCGCCCCAGGGGGGATGGTCACAGCGCAATCCCTTCTCCTCCATTCTCCTCTCGGGATCTTGGGGACGCACGCACACACGCACACGCGCCCGGCGTGAGTTTTAAGCCACCGGGTCCGGGACGTGAACCGCGGTCGACTACGTGGGAGTCCAGCGACATAGCCATTACGCTAACTGCTGGTTCCCAGGAATCATTATTTTTAAAGCTGGTTTGGAGTCTGTGCAATTTAAATCTTTTTTTGTTCTTTTTTTTTGTCATCTAGCAGATATTTCTGGAAACTGCTACATAAGAAGTGGCCGGAAGTCAGATGAATGTCCAAAGAAGAGCTTAGGTTCTTCAGCAGTATTGTTTTTGACAATTCATTGCTGCCAGCATGCACAGTGCTCATAGCAGAAACCACAGTGATAGCCTCGGCCTTCCTTCTTCCCACAAGGGTTCATCTCTGGCCGCCCTCGCCCACACTAGCCGACTTCAGCTGTGTTTGAAGTCAGATGTGTCAGAATGTGAAAATGATGATCCATTATTGAAATCTGCAAGTAAAATCAGAGACATAAATAGCACGTATGTTATTTCTGCCTGTAAAAAGACGGGAGATTTGCCCCTCACCCCTAACCCGAAGAGCAGATTGACACTTCAGAGAAGAACTCCAAGGAACAAAGAATCGTCTGTGCTGGGTAGTGAGCCAGGGGTCACAGCTGAAAACACAGTGGAGCCTCGTCTCGCATTACAGCGCCGTGTGAACACGCACTGTGTGGAAAAGCGGGGAGCAGCTAACGTGGATTCCGCGGGAAGGTGGGGAACAACGCAGGATGTGGGATGTGAAACCGGAAACGATCGCGCTTCAGAGGGAACAGATGCAAATGTAAATATTGTAAATAATGACAAAACATCTTTTGTTGCATCTTCTGTACAGTTAGCTGAGGGCTTAAAAGACGTGGAAGTGATGGCTAAGGAAAAATACAAAGAAACACTTTCTGTCCTCAGTGGGGCGAATGAAAATGTTGCACTGAAGTGCGGGAGTGAGAGCGCGCCCTGTGGTTCCCGCGGTGGGACTGAGGTGGGGAGATCAGGATACTTGGCCGTGAAACGGACTCAGAGCAAGCTGGATGTCAGAGTGCCGGGAATAGGAAACTTACATCATAGAAGTATTGGGAAGGACAGTGCAAAAAACACAAATAAGCTTGGAAACTTTGAGAAAAGAACCCCCGTGAAATGTATGACAGAACACAGGTTGACACCAAAGTGTAGCGCGCTGCAGCACAAGAGCCCAGCTGCGTCCACACCGAAAAACAGGACGCCCAACTCCCTAGTTCAACAAAGGCCAAAAAGTTCCCTTCTTGCAAATAAAAGGGAAAGGTCACAAGAAAATACACTCCCTGCTGAGGAAGAAATCGCAGTTCAGAACACCTCTGCAGAAACAGACCTCTTAAAAGTCGAGAGCAGTCAAGTGACAGTGGCAGTGCGTGTGAGGCCTTTCAGCAAAAGGTATGTTACAACCCTTCGAGTGCAAGGCTAAGCCAGTGCCCTGTAATGTGCCTTTGAAGCCACCTCACGGGCTGCTTTTAAAATGTCTGAATGAGTCACTTAACTCTCTAGTATAGTCTGCTTTCTTTCTTTCTTTCTTTTTTTTTTCTTTTAAGAAAGATTTTTGCTATAGGGTGCATGTGTTTGCTGGAGAGAGAGGTAGAGAGACAGAAAGCAAGAAATCACCCCCCGGAGGGATGGCCATAATCCCTTCTCCATTTTCCTCTTGGGATTTTAGACACACACACACACACACACACACACACACACACGCACGCCCAGCCTGAGTTTTAAATTGCCAGGTCTGGGACTTGAACTGTGTTTGACTATGTGGGAGTTCAGCAATGTAACCATTACCTCATCTGCTGGTCCTACCACCTTTCTTTTCAAAAGAGTCAAGACAGGTCATTTATTCCCCAAAGAACTCTTTCTACAACCCTTTCCAGAGTGGTGATTTTCACCATCATCCTCTCTGGTTGAGATTTAGTAGTTATAGATGAAATGATTTATTGCATTTGATTTTATTTTTGTGGTATGTGTTTTCCTATGTATACACATGCATGTGCGTATGTAGTTTCTTTTCTTTAGATTTTTGCCATAGAGTATGTGTGTTCATTGGAGAGGCAGAGACAGAGATAAAATGAGAAATCACCCCCTAGGGGAATGACCACACCACAATTCTTGCTCCATTCTTTGGGCTTGTATGTGCATGTACCTGGTGTAATTTTCAAGCCTCTGAGTCTGAGACTTGAACCAAGGAGTCAGCCATGTGGGATCCAGTGCCTTAGCCTTCACGCCACCTGCTGGCCAGTGTGTGTGTGTGTGTAATTTTTAGACAGGGTCTCACTGTGTTGTAGCCATCCTGCCTCAGCCTCCTGAGTAGCTGGGAGCATGGGGTGCACCCATGCCTAGCTCTCCCATGCAGGGTGTGCCATGTGGCATGGGCCGGCTGAGCTCGTGACTCTTCTGCCTTGGCCTCCCAGCAGCTGGGGCTGTAGATGTGTACCACTGTACCTGGGGTTATTTTTTTTTAAAAAAGATGGTCCAGGAGTCAAACCCAGACTTCCCATGTTGCCTCAGCCTGCCCAATAGCAGTGTCGAACACACTACTATGGCTGGGCTTACATTTGATTAACGCTAAAAAATATCTCTGAAAAAGTGGTGGGGGTAGGACAGTCCCAAATTAGGGAAAGGGTGGAAAAGATAGAGGTGACAAAGTGTGAAAGTGGAATCTAGTTACAGGTATGTGCCGTGGTAACTGTTCAGGTCAGTGACGGACCTCACATGTGATGGTGGTACAATACGATTCTGATAGGTTATACCACGTGCAGCTCGGAATGTAGCAGGCTGAGCCGTCGAGGTTCGTGTAAGTATGCCCTATGATGTTTGCACAGTGACAAGATAGTCCAATGATGCATTTAGAACATAGTCCTATCGTTCAGAGGTGCATACTCATGCATTTAAAAATATTTTAGGGGAGGACAGCAAAGAACGTCACAGGGCCTGTAGTTGTTAACTTGATGCTGTGTACCCAAGCAGGTTAGAAGGGAATGTGGTGGCCACAGCACTGGGGAAGGAGCCTCTCATTTGCACTTGAAAGGTCAGAAGGTAAAGGCAAGTTTTATAGTGTATATGACCTTTCTAGTGAAAATGCGGGATTAATGATAAAGAGGAGGACCAAGAGAATCCGGAAGGCTAAGAGAAAAGCCTCAAGAAATAGAACAAGATGGATGAGTGTACCGAAGAGAACATAGTAAGGGACCAAATGTCTGATTCCAGATGCACTAGATACGTCTTGAAAGCAGACCTGGGTGGGGTGGTACGTGTCAAATTGGTGAGGCAGGTGGTTTTCAAGATAATTCTGATTTAAAGCAGAGTTCTGTGGTGGATAGAGTAGGGAGTGGAAAGTGGGTAATGAGTAGAATCAGACGAGTGATACTGTTTTTCTGCAGATCTAAAGTAAGTGAAAGATTTCCACCCAAGTCTAAGATACAGGAAGGATGGACATAGTGGTCATGATTTTTTTTTTTTAGGGATTTTTTTTTTAATTTATTTTTTTGGAGAGGTTTTTGCTATAGGGCGCGTGCGCTCACCAGACAGACAGAGAAGGACAGAGAGACAGAAAGCGAGAAATCACCCCCCAGGGGGGATGGCCACGCCGCAATCCCTTCTCCTCCATTCTCCTCTTGGGATCTTGGGCACGCACGCACACGCGCCCGGAGTGAGTTTAGCCACCAGGTCCGGGACGCAAACTGCAGTCAACTACATGGGAGTCCAGCAACATAGCCATTGTGCTAACTGCTGGTCCCCCCCCCCTTTTTTTTTAAAGAGATTTTTGCTGTAGGGCACTATGGTCACTGGAGAGACAGAGAGCAGAAAGCAAGAAGTCACCCCCCCAGGGGAGATGGCCATGCTGCAGTCCCTTCTCCTCCATTCTCCTCTTGGAATTTTGAGCATGCACACATATGTGTCTGGTGTGACTTTTAAGCCTCAAGGACCAAGACTCAAACCACAGTTGACTACATTGGAGTCCAGCAACATAACCATTATACCATCTGCGGGTCCCAAGAGATTTTTACTATAGGGCTCATGCACTTGGTGGAGAGACAGAGACAGAAAGTGAGAAATCACCCTTCAGGTGGGGATGGCCATGCCATAATTCTTTCTTCTCCATTCTCCTCTTGGGATTTTAGGCACGCACACACACGCATATGCACCTGTGTGAATTTTATGCCACCAGGTCTGGGACTTAAACTGCGATTGACTACGTGAGAGTTCAGTGATGTAACCGTTATGCCATCTGCTGGTCCCGAGGTTCATGATTTTTAAAGAAGAAGGAAGGACGGACCATGAATTAATAGTGATAACAACTAGTAGTCAAAAGAGACTCAGGATTCAAATTCATATTAAACTGAGTTTGTTGAAATTATATCATATCTTATGCTAGCTTGATATACATAGATTTGTATGCCAGAATTTTATTTTTTTATAATAAACATGTTTCTACATTTGAACTGAAGATTATAGGTATACTATAGTAGATAGGATAGAAGCAGGTATAATTTGAGGGGAAAAAAAAGAAAAATCTTGTAAAAATTGAGTAGGAGGGCTGGCAGGTAGCTTGGTGGTTGGGGGCGTTGGACTCCCACATGGCCAACTATAGTTCAAGTCTCAGACCTGGTGGATTCTTTTCTCACTTTCCCCCCTCTCTCTGTCTCTCTCTGGTCAAATTAGAAAATAATAATAAAGTTAAAATAAGATAATTCTCTAAAAAAATTGGGTAGGTTTTCTGGACAAGAAATCTGGGATTAATTTTTTCATCTAGGGGGGTGCATCGGAAATATAGGATGGAAACCCATTAGAATTTTGTTTGCTGGTCTGTGCTTCTCACTACAATGAAGGAACCATCTTGCCCTGGAGGAATTTCCGTATTTAACTAGTTCTGAGGTCCTTATTATAGTCAGAGAATAATGCTCAACAATCATTACAATTACTTGATTTTTTTTTCCCTTTGTGCTTCTTTTTTTAAAGAGAGAAGAGTGAAAATGCATCCCAGGTGGTCTTCATGAATGGAGAAGAAATCACCGTGAAACATCCTGACATGAAACAAGTTTATACTTTTGTTTATGATGTGTCATTCTGGTCTTTTGATGAACATCACCCTCACTACGCTAGCCAGACAGCTGTCTATGAGACTCTAGCATCACCACTTCTAGAAAGAGCCTTTGAGGGCTACAATACCTGTCTCTTTGCTTATGGTCAGACTGGCTCTGGAAAATCATATACGTAAGTTGTATTGCTAATAAATTATCCAGAAATGTTTAGATCTTTCATGAAAAGCAGTGTGGCATGATAGAATATGGTTTTGAGACCACACGTATCTGAGCTCAGATGTCACCCCCCCCCTTTTTTTTTTAAAGTGTTTGCCTTAGGGCACATGCACATGCCAGAGAGAGACAGAGATGGAAGTGAGAGATAACCATGCTGCAATCCTCTCTCTTCCATTCTCCTCTCGGGATTTTGGGCACACACATACACTTACTGGCATGATTTTCAAGCCACTGGGTCTGGGACCCGAACCACAGTCAGACATCGGGCAATCCAGCACTTGAACCACCATACCACCTGCTGGCCCCAGATTTCACCCATTTTATATATAGATGGTCTCTGACTTCCCATGGTTTGACTTGTAACTTTTTGAGTTTATACTGGCTCTAGTAGGACATAGCCCCATCCTAAACTGAGGAGTATCTGGACTGATAATACTTTGACTTAGAACTTTACAACTTTAGGATGGGGTTATCAGAATATCAAATTCATTTTGTACTTAATAATAATTTAGATTTGCAATGGGTTTGTTAGGTTGTAATCGTATTGGAAATTGAGCAGCATCTGTATTAACTATTTCTGCAAACGTGTGCAAGTTACTTAATCTCTGGGCTACAGTTTTCATATGAGGTATTGTTTACTTTGTAAGTGCCATTACTCCTATTTTACTGTAATTTATATTTCTTGTGTAAACTGAAGCCTGGGGAGGGTTTCTAAGAATTATTATGAGATTTAAAAGTAAGGCACTTGATAAACGATAACTGGTTCAAATACCTGTCTTAACAGGAATG